AAAAAAATAATAATCTCAATCTCAACTATCATGATGTGGCAGAGTAGTAAGAAATTTTTTGTTTTTTTATATTGAGCTTCAATCCATATTTAAGACTGCAGTCCTTGACCTTCTGTAGCAAATGCCTCAGGCCCTCCTCAGTTTCAGCAAGCAAGGTGGTACCATCTGCATAACGTAGGTTGAGGTTGTTGATTAGTCTTCCTCCAACACTCAACAATAAAAAGGTTACTTTGTTCCATTTACATAAGATTTTTTGCAAGGTTGTTGGCATCATGTGCCATCAAATTGGAACCAACTCACAGCTGATCCTACAACAGGTTTTGAGAGGAGGTAAATCACTCAAGAGACTGCCCAGGTTTCTCCAGCAGAGTAGCTGTGTATTCAAAGCCTGTGCCTTTGGGTTGGCAGCACAGCTCATTACTACTCAGCCACTGAAATGTAATTTATCTAAGATCTTTTATGTAAGATTTTTGCAATGATAAAAACGTGAGAACAAAAATGATGAACTAATACTCAATTAGTGATGCTCAGGGTTAGAACAAGGGAGGGAAAGATAGCTAAAAGGAGAACATGAAGGATAGTAGTCATCATAGAAATGTCTCGATTACAGTATGATACTGTAGTTGTTTTGTAAGATATCATTGGTGGGAAATTGGGTAATACAAAAAGATCCTATATTATCATTCTGTATTATTTCTAGAACTACAAGCCTCTACAGTTACATCAAAACTAAGTTTAACTATAAAGATGGTTGAAGCAATAAAAAAACTAAGAGTATCGACTTCCACCTCCAGTTTCAAAATGTGATCTGGGGTTGCTGTTAGATGCTATCGAGTATGACATATAACGATAATATAAACAGCCATCCTGAACCCTGCCCTATCCTGAGCCAGCCTCACCATCTCCAAAACACTCAAGTCCACTGATGAAGTCTCTGTGTCAATCCATCTCACTGGGCTGAGGCCCCATCCTTCCAAGAATGATATCTCTTCTCCAAAGAACAGCCTCGCATAGCTACATGTCTAAAATATATGAAAGACAAAGCTTTGCCATCTTTGCCTCTAAGAAGCACTCCAGCTGCACCCTCTCCAAAAAGTATTTGTTCTGTTGGCAGATATAGGGTAAGGCCTGGAAATCTGCTTTTTTTAGAAATTTCCAAGTATGCCATTCTGGGACCAGCTATGAGAAACAGCAGTCTAAGAACATCTTAGGGCAAGTATTATTATTTTTTATTATTATTTGTGTGTGTGCCATCAAATTGGATCTGACTGGTACAGGAGAAGATTATCCCTCCTTCGTCAGCAGAGCATCTGGTGGATTTGAACTGTGTACCTACCCTTGGGATTGCAGTGCAGTTTCTTGCCACTAGGCCACCAGAATTCACCGCAAGTATTATTATTTATGGTAAGGAAGAACTGAAATCCTAAAGATTGACTTCTCTACAAATGGTGGTGGTTGTTAGGTGCTGTCAAGTCGACCCACAGTAACCTCAGGTCCTTCAGAATGAAGCTCTGCTTGGTCCTGCACCATCCCCTCAGATGAGGGAGCTGCTTAGTTCATTTTTTATTTCCGAAATCTTAATTTGAATGAGATTTTATAAAATACTACAAGGTAAACATCAGAACACAAAACTAGATGTTTATTATTTCTCACTCTTTTGATTTCTCAGACACCTCCTATAGTCTTTCTTTCTAGTTTCTGAAAATTCCTGAGAAAATAAGGAAAAATATGCACCAAACAGAAAATCGCTTGACATCACTTAGCAAAAGTAATGGGGGCGGAGGGGACGGGACACACACACTTGTGTAGTACAATTAACTGAAGCAATTTTGTAGATTTCAAAACCTACCCAGTGCAGTTTAGCAAAATACACACCTAGACTCACTGTGATGTTTAAACAATTACAGTTAAGAACTTACTGAAAATGGTTTTCCTGCCGTTAGCTCTCACAAATTCTACTTTAAAATCCCTTATGCAATAAGCCTCAACAATCGTTTCTATGGTAATGGTACAAAAATTTAAGGAAATGGGCTTAATAGCTAAAAGGTGTTTACATCAGAAACAGAAAAACTTTCTGGTAATGATAGCTCCAGTAACCTGAGAAGGATTACATTTATGTTTTAAATAGTCAACTTCCTGAGCCACCTCCAGAACTGTGCCATACCTTGTTTCAGATTTGCTTTCCCACATTAATTATAACTCTCAAAACTGTTATTTCACTAATGGAATGTAAAATACTAAATAATAACAAGAGGCTTCAAATATAAGGTCTCAGAAAAATCAAAATCCAGAACTCAAAATTAGCTCCCATTAACTGCCTTCTTTGTCTTCTATCAAAATTTACAAAGTGCTATACTCTATGAACTTTGATAAATGTTGATAGTTCTAGAAAGGCTCCAGGCTTTTTGTTCATAGGGTCACTGAGTCATGCACGACTTGACAGCAATCAACATTAGTCCCTGTATGGGTTCTTAAGTCAGCTCCAGTCTTCTATTATCATTAAAGGAAATCTTGAACTTTTTTTTTTAATAATACCAGAACATTTATTGCAGAACTAAACAGTGGACTTCTCAAGATGAACTGGATGCTGCAACAGCTGCCCACTTGGGTTTTCGTGTTCCTTCATGGAATCCACGCCTGAATCTGCAGTAAATGATCTTTAGGTGCCTCATATGACCAGTACCGGCGTATTGCGCCTTTGAGCCTTGGCACTCTAGTTTACTTTCTCTTGGGCTTGGCAGGGTAGCCACGCTTGCCACAGGTACACTTCTGGAGGTGGTAGGCCTTGGAGCCACAGTGGCAGCACAACATGTGCATCTTACTGCAACGCTTTCCAAACGATGACGTTCCCTTCATCATCTCGCTTTTGCTACCACAGCCAAAGAGCGGAAATCTTAAACTTTTAACTAACAATTCAGACACAAACAGAAGACATTCTCATATCCCAGCCGCAAAGATATCATGATCCCTAGTTCCTACAGTTGAAACCTTCCTCCAGTGTGGTCTGTCACAAAGCAAACAAAGAGCTGTCTTTGCTTCTACCACCTTAAGGCATGGTAGAAGGAGATACTATATAATTGCAAAGGAATCCAGAATTGTAACCGAGTAAGCAGAAATTCACTTGGAAAGTTTCTTTTTAGTCTTAAAGTATGATCTAGATTCAGTTTTAACTTTTACCTGATAGTTGTATTAAGTTCAATTTCAAAAAAGACTCAAGATAGAACATTGTTAGAAACATTTATTTTTATATAATCATAAATAACTCAGTAGAGGTTCTGCTCTGCTACAGATACATTTGTGAAATAAGAGGCCTGTGCCATCTTGAATGTCTCAACGATGTCGTATTTCTTATAGCATCCAGAGTGCAACACCTTCCATATCCTTTCTATATTCATCGACTGCTTCCAAATCCAGATGATCAAGTAGTCCTTCATCCCCAAAGTAGGCTAGAATGTTTGTGAAAAGGAGAAACAAATTAAACTCAACAATAAAAACCTTCTTGGTTTAAGGACCTAAAGACATTATTCATTGGTTTGCATATACTTGTCTAATGAATTAGATACATCAAGAGTTAACTACACAAGAACGAATCTCAATTTGAAAAAAATACACTAATTGTACTATAAGATATAGCTTTCTTGAGAGTTAACTACACAAGAACTAACCTCAATTTGGAAAAAAACTATACATAATAAGATATAGCTTTGCTGAACTTTTCGAATACTTTTTGTTGATACTTATTTCTTATTACTAAAAAGAAAAGAAAAGCTGGCATTTAAAATGAGGGACATTACAAAATAAGCGTCTAGTGATCTTCATTAACATGTGAAGTCTGACACCAAAGTATTAAATAACCACATTTATATGAAATACCAAGGAAGCATTAATATGCTAGCTCTGGCACAAAATTATAATATAATCACACTTACATGAAATACTTAGAATAAGCAAGTATATAGAAGCCAAAATTCTTTAGTTACCAGGTGTGGACAGCAGAAAGAGGAAAAGGAAGACTCAAGGCTTAGGAGTCACTGAACTTGTAAGGGTATAATTTGGGCATGGATAAGCATAATGAATGAACAAAATGATTAGCCTAATTACTGTCAATGAAATGTACTAGTGAAGGCTGTTGAAATGTTGAAAAATTTTGTTACAGATATATTTACCACATTTTAAATTAAAAATGTCTTCTGATACTTAACCACATAGAAAAGTACTTGGGGTTTACTGAAGAAGTTAACAAACATTTGAAAATTGGAAAGATGAATAGAAATAAGATACATATTTAAAATGTGAAGGACTGATAAATAAAAAAAAAAATCACAGCATCTTTATTAAATACAGAATTATTGTGTGCCCTTGAGTCGGAACCAACTATAGCTGACCTCCACCAGGTTTCCAGAGGCAGTAACTGACAACAAAGGAGAATGCTCATCTTTCTGACACAAAGCAGCTAATAGATTCAAACTATGTGCCTTTGGGATTCCAGCACAGATTCTTACCACTGGGATATCAGAACTCTCCTGGCTTTTAGAGAGCAGGACGCTTTCCACGGCTCAGACAGTAAAGTTTAGCATGACTGTCAACCATGATCCTTACTTTAAATATGAAGAAACTGAGGTTTTGAGAGGATTCTTCTCCTAAGTGCTCTTATCCATTAATAAACTAGGAATAGTTAGTATCATTTCCTTATCAATTTATTCTTATTGAAAACATTCAAGCAACTAACACAAAATTTGCTCAAACCTCCAAATCATGTGCTTACTCTAACAAGATCCAGAAAAAGCAAAAGTTCCAGTTCTAAATCCTGCTGATTAAAAATACGACTTAATGTAATATGTCAACTAAATAAAACTGAATTACGAAATGATAACTAGATCATTCTGCAGTTTATTTACAAAAAGGGATTTTTTAATAAAACTTTTATACTGATTTACTTACAAAGTTTGTATATATTGTTGTCCACAATGGATCTTCCTCATTTCCTTTACTCAGCCCTCCCTCTACCCATCAAATTGTGTGATCTATGATTACACCCCTCTGCCCATCCTCAACCCCTCTGCTCCTACCCGCCTTGGATGCTCATAAAAAGTATTTGTAGGTCAGTCCCCTGCAGGCTCCGCTGCCGGCAGCCCCTCAGCCAACAGCTCCAGCACCACCGAGGGCCGGTGGTGCTCTGGCCGGAGGGAGTGAGGCAGTCAGGCAGGCGGATGCCTGCACGCGACGGAGGGTGCGCACTGAGAACATTTACAGTGCTACACCAAGGGTATTTGAAATTCCAGAAGAATTGGCCTTTGTGAGAAGCAGGAAATAATTTAAAATTCTGTCTCTTAGTTTTCCTTTTTATTTCATATTGGAAAAACATCGAGAAACCATGAGCAGCTTTAGTAATGAAGAGTTTGACTGCCATTTCCTTGATGAAGGTTTTCCTGCCAAGGATATTCTGGACCAAAAAATTAATGAAGTTTCCTCTTCAGATGATAAAGATGCCTTTTATGTTGCGGACCTTGGAGACATCCTGAAGAAGCATCTAAGATGGCTAAAAGCTCTTCCTCGGGTTACTCCCTTTTATGCAGTCAAATGTAATGATAGCAGAGCCATAGTGAAGACCCTGGCTACCATTGGGACAGGATTTGACTGTACTAGTAAGAATGAAATACAGCTGGTGCAGAGTCTTGGGGTGCCTCCAGAGAGGATAATCTATGCAAATCATTGTAAACAAGTATCTCAAATTAAGTATGCTGCCAATAATGGGGTTCAGGTGATGACTTTTGATAGTGAAGTAGAGCTGATTAAAGTTGCCAGGGCACCTCCAAATGCAAAGTTGGTTTTGCGGATTGCCACTGATGACCCAAGGCAGTCTGTTGCCTTAGTGTTAAATTTGGTGCCACACTCAAAACCAGCAGGCTTCTTTTAGAACAGGCTCAAGAACCCAACATTGATGTCAGCTTCCATATGGGAAGTGGCTGTACCGACCCAGAGACCTTTGTGTAAGCAATATCTGATGCCCGTTGTGTCTTTGACATGGGAGCTGAGGCTGGTTTTAGCATGTATCTGCTTAATATTGGTGGCGGCTTTCCTGGATCTGAGGATGTGAAGCTTAAATCTGAAGAGATCACCAATGTAATCAATCCAGCACTGGACAAGTATTTCCCATCAGACTGTGGAGTAAAAATCATAGCTGAGCCAGGCAGATACTATGTTGCATCAGCTTTCACTCTTGCTGTTAATATCATTGCCAAGAAACTTGTATTAAAAGAACAGAGAGGCTCTGATGACAAAGATGAATCGAGTGAACAAACCTTTATGTATTATGTGAATGATGGGTATATGGCTCATTTAATTGCATCCTTTACGATCATGCACATGTAAAGCCCCTGCTGCAAAAGAGACCCAAGCCAGATGAGAAGTATTACTCATCTAGCATATGGGGACCAACATGTGATGGCTTGGATCGGAGAGTTGAGTGCTGTAACCTGCCAGAAGTGCATGTGGGTGATTGGATGTTGTTTGAAAATATGGGTGCTTAAACTGTTGCTGCTGCCTCTACTTTCAATGGATTCCAGAGGCCAGCTATCTACTATGTGATGTCTGGGCTAACATGGCAACTCATGCAGCAAATCAAGAACCATGACTATGCACTCGAAGTGGAGGAGCCGGATGTCAGCACTCTGCCCTTTTCTTGTGCTTGGGAAAGTGGAATGAAACGGCATCCAACAAGTTGTGCTTCAGCTAGTATTAATGTGTAGTTACCATTTTGGTGCAGTTAACTCCAAGTTTAGCTTGAATTAAGGGATTTGGGGGGACCATTTAACCAAATTATTGCTAGTTTTGAAATGTCTTTATATGAGTAGGGTGGGATGGAACAGATGCAACAGTATGGAAGACTAGGCAATGGGGTCACACTTATCTGTAAAAGTATCTTGACATTAAAAAAAAGTATTTTTAAAAGGAGCTCTGGTGGCCTAGTGGCAAGACGCTGCACTGCAATCCCAGAGGTACAGGGTTCAAATCCACCAGATGCTCTGCTGGAGAAGGAGGGGGCAATCTCCTCCTGTACCAGTCAGATCTGATTTGACGGTACACGTAAAAATAATACAATAATTTTTTTTTAAAAAAAAGTATTTTTAGAAGTATTTCATTAGTTAGACATTGAAAGATACACAAACTCCTTCCAGGCAACTACAGCCTCAGAAACCCACTGTCAGCTATGAGTGGAAGCTATGCAACATCAATAGTTTTCTGAGTTTTGGCTGAGGGTAAAAACCCACACCTCCCAAAAAAAAAATCAGACATGCATCTTATTTCCAATTTTCATTGAACTCTTCCTTAAAACCCAAGTACTTATACATTTGGCTATTAATGCAAATAACTTTTTCATTCTTTAAAGTATCTTCAATAGCAATGAGCATTCCAAATAAAATATTCCCTAGCTCGTACAGACAATGAACAGGAATGATTTTCTTATGTAACCCTGTATCCATATACTTTGCATAAATAATGCCCCTTTATTTATGAAACTGTTGCAATTTTAGTAAGGCATTCAATGTTAACCAATACTGGCTGACCACCTACAGCTACCATCAAAGATGAGGAGGAAGATACTGAAATAAGAATGGTTCCATTACAAGGAACCTAACTTGGTGGGAAACACATAGGTAAAACATGAACTGTAACAACTATATATATAATCTTAACATAAACATCAAATTAATATATAAACAATAAATTTTATATTAATGAAGGCCACAGAAGTCACAATCATGTTTCTTTTACACTAAGTAAACCTTCTCTAGTTAGTATTTCCAGCTCAGATAGTATAGTATGAAATTCCATAACAGAGTAACCTTTTCAAGCACTCAGTTCTTTTCTAAAATACAAATATCCTTAGAGGGAATACAAATATCCCTAAAGAAGGAAATGACTGAGAGTCAGTTATTTCTTGGAACACCAAGAAAAATGGTGAATTAATCAGCCAGAAGGGGTTCACATCTAGTCTACAGATTTGAAGGGTCAAATCCTGGAGGGTTAACTGAAGAAATTATACATATTCAATCCTTAAGGCAATGTTATGAAGTTGGTATTAAGATACCCAAAACTTACACAAGAAGCTTAGATTAATGACCTTCTGGGGAAAGCTATTAGACCATAATTTCTAGCATCTGGAAAATGGTCATACTCACCCAGTAGACCTATGTCTGAAAACATTTCCTAAGCTTAATGCTTTCCTAAGGAATTAACTGGTCTGAGATTATTCAACTAGTAGTTTACATTACCTCACTCCCCATTATACTGAAAAAGGAAACCAACAACAAAAAGAAAGAGTAAGCACAAAGAAAAAAGAACTCAGCAGGAATCTCAGGAAACAGTTTTAAGAAGCAATATCAAAAGGGAAAAAACCACACTTTCCTATGTTTAAAGGCTGAGAGGCTGAAGGAAATGCCTATAAAATGATACTATGTAAAATAAGAAGAAAGATTATCTGGGCATTCATGTGACCCAGTGGAAAAAACTATGGGCTTTGGAGATGGTATGACCTGTTCTGAAGGACTCAAGTGACAGAGACATCATGAAAAAGTACTGAAAACAGTGACTGCCTATTGTACAAGTGGGATGGAGTAGGTATTTCAAGAAATTGAAGACCAAGAATTATAAGTGAAAAGTCTATTAGGGGAATCCATGAACTATCTTTAAGAATCGAGTTAAGCTGAAATCCCACAGCCACAGTATCAGTGGCCCAAGTCATCACAATGCCACGAGGTTAATTCTTCTGATGACTTAAGCAAAACTTGCTTCTGTTTGAGATTTGTTATGCATACAAACACATTTTATGTTTAAGTGTATGTATACATAGAATTTGACATAGTTTTTTTTCAAGTATACAGACACATATACATTTGTGTATATACTGCTAACATAATTAGATGTACAGTTTTCCAAAAGCTCAAAACTATGATATCACAAAACTCCATTTAACATATATAATTACTATTCTTTTTGTGTTCCAATCATTCAGTGCCATATATGAAAATCTGCCCTGAAATTTAAGAGAAGTACCTCAAAAAAAAAAAAAAAGAGAAGTACCTCAAAACAGTTGGTTCAGGCATTCCAGGATCTGCACCTCTCTTGAATCCTAAAAGGGTGGGAGAAATAGTAATTAAAACTCCACTAGGAAAAGAACAAACTACAACCAAGATTTCCCTTTTTTTTATCCAAAACGAGAAGATAGAATGATATTCAGAGCTACCAGTATGGACTACTATGTGGAAAAGAACAGTCTCGAATCTTTCACTCAGTCAGTGCAGTTGCTAAGTAGACTCTCCATAGGATTTTCAAGACTGTACACTGCACTGCGGAGCCAATGGTGGGTTCAAACCTTGGGAGTCACACAGCCTTTTAGCATTCATTAGAATATGAGAGTTTATACGACTTGCTGCGGAAGATCAAAGACTACAGATTTCAATATGGATTACATTTCAACACCAAGAAAACAAAAATCCTCACCAATGGACTAAAAGGTACATTCTGATAGATAAAGACTGAAGTTGAAAATGATTTCACCTTACTTGGATCCAATATCAATATCTACAGTAACAGCAGTCAAGAAATCAAAAGATGTGTTCACTACAGAAAATTTGCTATCAACAACCTCTTGAAAGTGCTAAAGAACATCCCAGAGGTACGTGGTTCGAATCCACCAGGTACTCTGCTGGAGAAGGAGGGAAAATTTCCTTCTATACCAGTCAGATCCAATTTGATGGTACACACACACACACACACAAAATCAAAAAAAGAAAGTGCTAAAGAATAATATCAGTTTAAAGACTAACTGTGTCTGAGCCAAGGCATATTCTTTTCAATAACTTCAAATGAACCTATAAGCTGGACACCAAATTAGGATGAAAGAATCACTGATGCCTAGGAGCTGTGATGTTGGAGAAAAGTACTGAATAGCAATCACAAGGACTGCTATGAACAAACAAATCTTTCTTGGAAAAATTGCAACCAGGATCCTACTCGGAGGCAAAATTAATGAAACTTCATCTCATATAGTTGGGGCATGTGGTCAGGAGAGGCTAGCTCTTGGAAAAAGATATCACACAGGGAAAAGTGGAAGGTCAGAGAAAGAGAAGATTTTCCACAAGATGAACTGACACAATGCCTGTAACAATGGGCATCACAGGGACAGTGCGGATGGTGCAGAATAAGGCAAGGTGCAGATCTATTGTTTATGCAGTGACTTTGAGTTGCAGTCAACTCTACAGAACCTAACTCAGCAGTTAGGACAAGCTGTCTTATTCCCTTTATACACAATACTAATCTACAGTATGCTATATCAGTAGTAATTAAAAAGGAAAAACCAAGTTGGGGTGGGTTTTTTTTTACCTATTTGAGAATACCTTATTTCTTCTCCTATGAACCCTTTTATAATAAAAAATTGCTAAAAGGGGAAAAAATATTCAATAGTTGTATTATTTAACAATTAAATCAACTTTTTTAGATACAATTATGGTTCAATAAATCTCAACTGCCATCTTAAACAGGTAAGTAAATCAACTTGGTAACAAATAATTTGCATTTGATTCACTGATTAAAATTCAAATTGGTGCCAAGACCTGGAGTCTGAGACTTTATTTTCAAGTCAAATTAGCCTAACAAATTAATGATGACAACAGATGACAACTGTCAAATCAGAGACAGAGATCATTTTTCTCACCAACAGCAAGGCTCAGAGTATAACCATTTTTCTTCCGTTGCTCAAGCCCCAGTTTCCACAGAAAGCTGACAGCTTCATAGACAATGGCAAAGAGAAGAAATTATCTAGGTTCTCATACTTTTACCTTTCTTAGCTAAAAGAAAACTTCAGTCTTATGGTTGGCCATCCAGGCTGAGCCCTCCGGCCAATAAATGAAACCTGGGATGGAAGTGGATATCATTTGTAAGGGATGTGTGTCTCTATAAAACAGAGCTTGTAAAATCAGGTCCCAGTATGAAGCTCTAGGTGAAATTAGCTCCCTAATAGTAATTAATCTCTGCAGTACAGCAATCAGATACCAAGCATCACCACTGAAATTATAACCATGATCACAGTTCAGGAGAAAAACTCTAGTGCTTGAAACCTACCTAGGCTCAACTAGACACTTTCTCATGTACCAGATGGAAGTGCACGCTAGACAGTCAAAAAGAAGATAAAAGAAATGATACATTTGTGTTGGTGAAAAATACTGAATAAACACGGCCTAAAGAATGAGCCCATCAGTCTTGGAAAAAGTACAGCCAGAATGCTCCGAAGAAGAGAAGCTGCCCAGACTTCCTTTCAGTCCTCTGGACATGTAGTTACCAAAAGGCCACCCACTCTCTGGAGAACGACATCATGGTTGGTAAAATAGAAGGTCAGTGAAAACTAGGAAGACCCTCAACAAGGCTGACTGACTCAACAAGTGACTCCAATAATGCGCTCAAACACAGCAAAAATTGTTAAGATGATGGACCACGCAGTTTTATCCTGATGTTTATCAAGTTTGAAAAGCTATGAGGTCACCTAATAACAACATATAAGGATCTATAGCGTGGCACATAGGGAATTGCGTACCAAACCCAAAAGTTGAGCCTCTGGAGGTTCAAATACAGCAGAGGCTCCTTGAAAGGAAGACAGGCAATCTCCTGTGCGATGAGGTGGGGCGGTCTTGGCTATTCACTGGTTGGGTTCCTGATGATCTTTTGTTTTTAAACAACATACATCATGTCATCTAATCCTCACAATCCTAAATGGCTCTCATCTCCGTGATGCGATATGAGTCAAAAGAGATGACTTAAAGGGGAGCTCTGGTGGCTTAGTGGCAAGGAGCTGCAACTACAATCCCAGAGGTGCAAGGTTCGAATCCACCAGATGCTCTGCCGGGGAAGGAGGGACAATCTCCTCCTGTACCGGTCAGACCTGATTTAACAGTACACTCACACAAAAATAATAAAAAACTTAAAAAAAAAAAAAAAGAGATGACTTAAAAGATCCGGAGGGCGGAGGGGAACACCAAAAAACACCAAAAAAAACAGTACTACCATCCTAGCCAGGAATGAACGGAAGCACGGCTTAGCAATCTACTTCCAAAAAGTTTTGTTCTGTATCACTGAGTGGGAATCGACTCAGAGCTGGCTCTCCGGCGAGTTTTCAAAGGCAGATTATAGCACGGGTGGGTATTTATCAGCTTTCTTGTGCAGAGCAGCTGGTGGATTCGAACCACGTGTCTTTCAAAAACATTGTTGTTGTTATGTGCCGTAGAGTGGTTTGCGACTCATAGCGACCCTATGCACAATAGCCCTAAACCCTGCTCTCTCCTGCGCCAATCGCACTGCCTCTGACACACCCATCCCGATTACCCCAGTCACTGAATCAATCCATCTCATAGAGGGTCTTCCCCTCCTGCGCTGTCCCTCCACCCTCCCAAGCATGATGTCCCTCTCCAAGGACCCGTCCCTCCTGGCAACATGTGCAAAGTATGTCAGACGAAGCCCCAGAATCCTTGCCTCCAAGGAGTAGCTTGGTTTAATCCTCTCCAAGATGAATCTGTTTTCCTGGCAGTCCATGGTACATTCAGTACTCTTCTCCAGCACCACAGCTCAAAAGCATCCACCCTCCTTCTGTCCTCCCTAGTCACTGTCCACCTCTCTGATGCATAACAAGCGATTGCAAAGACCATGGCCTGTATCAGGCGCACCTTAGTCTCCAGAGAGACACTGTTGCTCCTGAGTACTTCAGAGAGGTCCCTAACAGCAGACTTTCCCATCGCGATACGCTTTTTGATTTCCTGACTGCTGGTGCCAAGAGTGTTGACTGTGGAGCCGAGCAAACTGAAGCTGTGAGGCACTGAAAAATCCCGCACGGAGCACTGAGCTACCTACCGGGCAACAATGAGGTAATAATAGAAGCCTAAGAGACTTCACGGCAACTGGTAAAGAATCGCCAAAAAAAAAAAAAAAAAATCGGATCCGGCTTAAATCCATCAAACTAAACCAGACATCCTCAATGGAAACGCAAGGAGGGGTCCCCGTTCTCCTTTTTCTTCCCTGAATGTCAAAACCAGAATTGCAGACCCCACCACCCCCTGGCCTCTGGTCTTCTCCCACTAACCCAAGTAAATCACGAGCGGGATGAAGCCCCAACGGATGGCAAACTGGCCGCCCTTGAAGAGCTGCTGCAATCTTTGCTTAGCTTCTTTACTCAACTTCACCATGTCGACAGGAGGTGCGGCACAGAAGAGACGTCTCACAGCAGCTTCCCCGTCCAGAATCCGAAAAGGAGAGACGAGGCGCATGCGCCACAGTAAACCTTTACGGCAGGAGTCGTGAGCGACGCCAGCAAATGTCGTAACTCATTAGCCTTTTCCTGGCGCCTGCCTTCTCCGAGGCTTTTGTGGAAAGCGCGTGCGCAATCGGTTTGCACTGCTCCTTTGGAGGCGCTCTGGGTTTGTTCTGGTTTTACCATTTTAATGACTGGTTTTACTGGTTCCAGGGTATTTAGAGTATTGTGATTGGATTTCATCAGAACAGATCGATCTTCCGCATTATTCAAAGCACTTTTCCAAGTGTACCTTCTCTGACATAAAAGGAAGTATAACTGAAATTCAACTGTCAGGATTTGGGGACTCTTACCCTGATTTTTGTGTGATCTTTGGCAAGTTATTTAATTTCTTAAGTGCGGAAGGAATTTACCCTTCTGTTAACCAGTATGAGCTACACCTCAACATAAAACAACAGTTGTTACAACTGGATCAACAGGCAAGATCATGGTAAACGTTGTACACCAATGTTCACGGCAGCCTTATTCACCATTGCAAGAACATGGAAACAGCCCAGATGTCCAACCACAAACGAATGGATTGAGAAATGATGGTACAGTCACACGATGGAATACTACACTGCACAAAGGATAAATAATTTTGTAAAATATTACCTAACTTGGGAGGGACTGGAGAGCATTATGCTGAGTGAACGCCGTCCCACCAGGACAAATATTGTATAAAACCATTATTGTAGAATGAGTATAAAGATCCAAGGGGGGCCGGCGTGGAAGCAGAGGGATGAGGATGTGCAGGGGGAGGAGGAGGTAAATCATGGGGTTATACAATTTGATGGGGGTGAGGGAAATTGGAAGAATCTGTTCTCGAAAACAATGTATTCGAATTTTGTAAATAAACTAGTATGAAATGAAAAATATTAGATAGGAGAAAAGATCATTATAAATGGAGATAAGATTGAAGTTGTCAAAGATCATTTTTATTTTAATCTGCAATCAAAGCTCAAGGAAGCAGAAGTCAAAAGATCAAATGGCTAAATGTTTATGAAAATTAATAAAATATAGAAAAAGAAAGAGCAAAAAAAAAAAAATCAAATGGCTATACTGCATTGGGCAAATCTGATGTCAAGGACCCTTAAGTACTAAAAAGAGCAAAGATGTCACTTTCAAGACTTAGTAAGGGGTGCTCCTGGCCCAAGTCATGTATGTGAAAATTGGACAATGAATAAGATGACTGATACTTTTGAATTGTGATATTGGTGAAGAATATTATACAACAGACTGCCAAGATATAGAACAAATCTGTCTCAGAAGTGCAACCAGAAATCTCCTTAGACGTGAAGATGATAAGACTTGTCTCACATACTTGAAACATGTTCTCAGGAGGGACAAGTCCCTGGAGAAAGGAACCATCCTTAGTAAAGTAGAGGGTTAGAGAAAAACAGGAAGACACTCAAGGAGATTAATTGATTGACACATGCTAGCTATAACCAGGAGCTCAAACAACAACAATGGTAGTGAGGGTGGTGCAGGACTGGGTAATATTTAGTTCTTAATTAGATCCAACAAGACAACAACTAATAAAAACAACAGCGTATGAGGATCACTGGTAGTTCAATGGGCAAATAGTTCACCCAGTACTGAAAGGGAACAGTTCAATTTCATGACCATCACAGGGCAGAAAAATGTGGCAATCTGCTTCCTTAAAGATTTATGCTCTTAGGAACTCCATAGGGCCATGAGAAAGGATTTCAAAAATTACAGCATAACTTGGGAGAGACTGGAAAACATTATGCTGAGTGACCTAACTCAGTCTCCTAAGGAAAAATACTGCATAAGAACCATTGTTGTAGAAATAGATAACTAGTAAAACTGCATGGTTCAAAATCAGGAAAGGAGTGAGTCAAGGATATATCCTGTCTCCAAATGTTTTCAATCTATATGCAGAACAGATGATCGGGAGGTAGACTTTATAAGGAGGAATGTGGCATCAAGATTGGAGGAAGACTTATCAACAACCTATGTTATGCAGATGACATAATCTTGCTTGCTGAAACTGAAGAGGACCTGAAGCGCTTACTGCAGAAGGTCAAGGACTATAGTCTTCAATATGGATTGAAGCACAACATCAAAAAGACAAAGATATTCACCACTGGGCCAAGTGACAGCACCATGATGGATAGAGAAGAGATTGAGGTTGTTAATAGTTACACCTTACTTGGCTGCACAAGCAACACTCTTGGCACCAGAAATCTGGAAATCAAAAGGTGAATTACACTGGGAAAATCTGCTGTCAGAGACCTCTCCAGAGTACTGAGAATCAATGATGTAAGTCTAGAGCCTAAGGTGTGGCTGATCCACTCCATGGTCTTTGCAATTACTTGCAATGCACTGGAGAACTGGACAATAACTAAGGATGACAGAAAAAGAATTGATGCCTTTGAATTGTGGTGCTAGAGAAGAGTATTGGACATACCATGGACCACCAAGAAAAAACAGAGGTCTGTCCTCGAGAGGATGAAACCAAGTTTCTCCTTAGGGGATAGAATTTTGAAGCTCCATCTCACATACTTTGGGCATGTGGCCAGGAGAGATCAGTTGGTCCATGGAGAAGGACATCATACTTGGAAAGGTGGAGGGACAGCCCAAGAGAGGAAGACCCCAGATGAGATGGGTTGATACAGTAATTGGGGCAATGGGGGTAGGTGTGTGGAAGTCAGTGAGACTGGGTCAGGATAGGGCAGGCCTGAGAGCTGTTGTACATAGGATCACTATGAGTTGCAGATAACTCAACAGTATATAACAACAACAAAATATGTGAGGATCCACAGAAAGGGGAACAGGGGGGTGAGGATGGTCAGGAGGAAATCATAGATTCACACAATGTGGTGGGGAGAGGGAGAGAGATAAAGAAATAGTAAAGTTCTGACTGGGATCTGGAAAGACAGGGTAATAATGGTGGGCATAGTTCAATGGTGGTTAATTTTATAAAATAGTGGGGTGAATTGTATGAAACACAATATGAATGAAAGATAGTGTGACGCACAATATGTATACAAACTTTATAGGCAAATCAACTTAAAAAAAAATAAAATAAACCCTATATGGCAGTGCTACTGTGTCCTGTGTGGTTCCCAAGAATTAGAATCAACTCAAAGGCAGTAGGTTTAGGATAATTGCAGAATATATGCCAAAACATACGTAAGAATTGAAATTATAAGAATTTTCATTGCCCTTGAAAACTTTATATCTGAGTGGGGGAAATCTGAGTAAGTATGCAGTGTCATCCAACTGAATGTGGAAACTTGAATAATATCATTAATATCACATTCAAGCAAAATACTGCTGAAGATCATTCAAAAACAGCTAGAACAGTATATAGAGATCTGCCAGAAGTTCAAATAGGATTTAAAGAGTCCATGGCACTAGAGATATCATTCTATGTCAAATTGATCCTGGCTGAAAGTAAAGAGTACTAGAAAAATATCTATTTGTTGACTATGCAAAAGCATTTGACTGTGTGGATCAAAACAAATTGTGGCTGACATTGAGGAGAATGGGAGTCTCAGAGCACTTCATTGTGCACAGGAGGAACATGTACCTGGAAAAGAAGGCTACTGTGGGAACAGAGCAGGGGGATACTGCAGGGTTTAAAATTGAGAAGGGAGTGCACCAGGGCTGTATTCTTTCTCCATAACTATTCAATCTATGTGCTGAGAAAATTTTCTGAGAAGCTGGACTTTAGGAAGAGGATGTGTCATCAAGATTGGAGGGAGACTCATCAACAACCTGTGTTAGGAAGATGACACAACCTTGCTTGTGGAAAGTGAGGAGGACTTGAAGCACTTGTTGCAGAAGATCAAGGAATGCAGCCTTCAGAATGGATTGTGTCTCAATGCCAAGAAAACAAAGATTCTTTAAAACAAAGCATGATGGAGAGAAGATTGCAACTGTCAACAGCTTCATCTGATTTAGATCCATAATTAACACCTTGTTACCAGCAGTCAGGAAATAAGGAGATACATAGCACTGGGAAAATCTGCAGTTAGGGACCTTCCTAATTATTAAGGAGTAATGATTTCAGTTTGAGGACTAAGGTGCATCTGATTCAGGCCATGGTCTTTCTGATTACTTGCTATGCATCTGAGAGCTGCACAATGAATAAGGAAAGGTGACAGAAAAATAAATAATTGATGCCTTTGAACTGTAGAGTTGGAGAAGAGCACTGAACATCCCATGAACAATCAAAAGAACAAACAGATATATCTTGGAGAGAGTGCAGCAAGAGTGGTCTTTGGAGGCAAGAATGATGAGAATTCACCTCACATATTTTGGATATGTTGCTAGGAGGGGATGCTCTTTGGAGAAGGACTTGATGCTAGGAAGAGTGGAGGGTCAGCAAAGGAAAGGAAGACCCTCAACCAGGTGGACTGATGTGGTGACTGCTGCAATGGGTTCTTGTGTGTCAGGAAGTACGAGGATGATGCAGGATAGGGCAGGGTTCAGATCTTTTGTTCATAGGGTCCCTATGGGTCATACTTGACTCAATGGCACCTAACAAGAACAATGTAATGTGAATGTGTGCAGTCTTGTGATAAAAGTATGAGCAAAATGTAGTGAAAGAAATATGTTCTTGTTGAGTCTCACTGAGTCAGAACTAACTCATAGCTGACCCTCAAGTGGTTTTCAGAGGCATATGGGAGGAGGCTGCTCATCTATCCCCCAAAGGAGCAGATGGTGGATTCGAACAGCATGTCTTCAAAATGGAGGCACAACTCCTTACTACTAAGCTACCAGAGATCTCTAAGAAACATAGAGGTTACCAAACACAGCCTAGAAAAGTCAAGGATGTTTTAAGGAAATCAGTGACAGTTAAACCGGAACAGAGGAATCATAGTTTGAATCATAGAAGTAAAGGTAGCAGAACATAGTGACCAT